TATTTACCATATGGATGTTTCTACAATATTTTTTAATGGTTGGCTAAAAAAAACAATCTTCATAAAGCAGCCATAAAGATGTATCTACTTCAATACAAAATACCTTATTTGCCACCTAAATTGCTGACTATATGGTCTCCATCACAATTTCCAAACTTAATATAATAGAATCAATGCCAACTTATAATACTAGGAATTCTACAATATTAATGTATGTTCTAACATCTACCTCCAAGATTGTACCATGTCTCTCTTCCTTCAAATATTATACATCAACAACTTCTATATCATTGGTTCTAACCTCCATAGCATCCTTGATCTAAAAAGCACAAATCCAATAACTATACAAAATATCTAACCTTCATTTATTACAATGTTTCTTTGGCATCTAATTCAAATAGATCTCTTGTGGTATTCTATTCTATCAAATAAGCTATGTACAGAAGTTCTTTGTAGAATAGTACGTGAATTCTACTTCCATTCATATATTTTTATCTGACTTTGTCAAATTTTATAAAGATATTTATTCACCATAGGTTGATTTAGGGCGATTTTAGTGCCTCATTCGTGAGTTAAATTATTTGCTTAAAATCTACTAGGACATCAAATTTGCAATTTCTTTTCTTAGTTGATTCATGTATTGTTTCCAATAAATTCACTTGTAAAAAATTCTTAATGTCCTCTATTATTTTTTATGATATCTTTCTATTGGTCTTTGGTATTTAAAAATAAAAATAAAAAAAACTACACTCTTGGAATTCTTAAATATAAACTATGTTGGAAATCTCAATGATTGTATATCTATTGACACTTTCATATTTTTCTTCAGTAGCTCATCTATCTTATGATACAATAAAAAAGCAAAATATTATCTCACACTCTTCTTGTGAATCCAAATACAAGGTACTAACAAAGATAACTTATGAATCAACATGGCTATAATAACTTATATATGAACTAAAATTTGGAAACAATACATCTACAAATATCAAGTGCAACAATCAAAGTTTTATTGAAGTAATCAAAAATTTAATCTTTCACAATAAAATAAAGAATTTAAAAATAGATTTATACTTTACAAAATAAAAAACAAAAGAAAGAAAAATTCAAGTATAATTTTAAAATTTTATTAATCAAATTATAAATATATTGACAAAAGTCTTTGGAAGAACCAAGTTCAAAAAATATAGAAACAAAATCAATTTCAGAATCCTTAAAAAAAATTAAAATCTCTTTTCAACTTATTAAATAGTTTATAATTAGTTTTTAGATTTTAAATAATTATAAGCCTTTTTCTTACTTCTAAAGCTCTTATATTGAGATTACCTCAATAACTAATTACTTCACATTGACATTTTTTCCGAGTTGAAAAGATTCCAGAGTGTCTACCTACTCAAATAGCATAGTAATGTTGAACCTTTGCTGAAGAAGTCACCTTTTGCATTCCACCAACTAAAAAAGATGCAGCTAAAGATAAATAATTATTTGTATATTTAGTCAAAGGCTATATTGGCTCTAAACTCTCTAGGTTATATTCTCAAAAAATCACCCAATCCATCACCAAAACTAATTTTACAATACATCAATACACAATCAAGAGAATCAATTAAAATAACATTAAAATAACTTATGTATGTTTTCATTCCAATCACTTGATTAGCTTTTAAAAAATCAATTGGATATTCAATAATTTACTAATAATAAATCTTGAAGTTGACAAGCTTGGTCCATTATCACTAAGTAGAAGAAGAGTTGCAAGTAAAAGGAAGTATTCGCAGCTACTCTTATCTTTAGGATTAGCACCCTTCTTTGATATTGTTCCTAATATAAAAACATTGTTCCCTATTGATCTTAAAAGTTTCCATTATAGTACTTAGTTTATATATTTTTCTTTGATCATTAAACTTATAACTCATTCTAATCAATGGATTCAATGTTCTTTTATGCATAGTGCTTTGCACAAAACTTTTATGTATCCAAATTTCTTCAATAGAGACTATGTTTATGTCCTTGAGGTGCTCCATCACTTTCTACATATTGAGCTTAATTTATAAAATAGGCTTTTCTGGTCATTATAATAATTTTGAAGCTCATAATATGTATAGAATATTCTACATCTAATTTTTAGTAATTCTATTCTTAACATCAATACTTAAGAAAGATGAACTTTCTCACATAAATTTTTTTGTGTATTTCTTACTATTTTTCTTTCATATTTTCAATGTTTGGTTTCTTCTATTCACTTCTAGGCTTGTCTTTTCAAGAGACTATTGGAGTTGTGCTCATTTCAAGGAACTTCAATAAGATTACAGTTTGTCAAGACTAGTCTACTAATAAAAAACCTCCTAAAATTAATATTGAGGATAAAGAAGAGATAAAAAAAATAAAAAAATAAAAAAATAAAAAACTTCCACAAGAGCAAGTCAACTCAATAAATGGAAAGGAGGTTAAGGACCTTGTGTATTATTCAAGTTTATTATTTCCTTAGATAAATAAAAATAAAGTTAAATAGAAAAATACAACTTGTAATAATAAACAAATGATTTGAATAAATTTTATTGAAATTTATTCTTAAGTTCTTTAATTTAAAGTAAATATTGACATAAACTCATGTATCATAATTGAATTGTATGAAGAAAGGAAATTCTAAGGTTCTCAACAATAGCTTTTTGAAGCAATCATACTCTTTCATTATACCTCTTTTCTTGATGTCACTCTTTTCTCTTATTCAACATCTATTCTTTCAAAGTTTTTTGACTCTGTAAATTAAGATATTTGTAATTCAAAGTCTCATAAGACATTTTATAAGAAGAACTTGCATTCATTAGTATAAAACCAGTTTTTAATCCCTCTAATAAAGCTTTAGATGAGATAAGTGTGCCTTCTAAGGACTAATTGCCATGTGAAGATTGAATAGTTGGATGTAACACAAAATTAGTTAACTGATCAATTAAGGCCTCTTTCCATGCTCAATAGGTGCTTAATATTGTTCTTAGACTTTGTTTGTACCTAATAATCTCTCCAAGTCCACCCATTTTCAAAATTTGTACTTCGATGAAGTAAAGCACTTTATGATCTTTTATAGGAAGTCATTAAAAGACCTTTTTAGTAAATAGGTAAGTAACCTTTCATAAGATCTCATAAAAAGATCTAATACTTTAATATTTTAAGTCAAATATCCACCAATATATTATTTGATTGCTCTACTTATATTTTTTGATCCCTAAAGTTAGTCAAGAACAAATTGCCAACCTATTGTTAAAATTGATGATGTATTAGATAATTGGAGGAGGATTTTATATTCTAGCTTCAATTTTGCCTATAGATCAAGCATAAAAGAAAAAGCTAAGTTTGGAATCCAAGACAAATCATTGCTCCCTTCATTGCAATGTGATGTACTTGCAACCGCAAACATGCAAAGCAAAGGTTTGTTTTACTTTTAAGAAAAAATTGTAGCAATGTGTGGAGATCTTCTTCTTCTTTATGTACAAGATGAGTCAACATGTTCCGCTTAAAATGACATTTGGTCTTAAATAAGGTAGTGTTTTAATGACATGACATTTGGCTAGTAGTAAAGAGTATAAATTCTTTGCTAAAATTAATCTACATATATATTTAATAAATAAACAAAGAATTGATTTTTTAATAAAATCATTTTTTATTTTTAAGATCTTAATATATTTAAAGTAAATTTAATAATAATCATAAGTATGATTTTTACTAAAGTTTAAAAATAAATATGTTTATATTTTTGTCATATAATTTTGATTTTATTGTCATAATTTTTTTTAATTTTTAAATATTATAGTAAATATTTATTTTAACTATAAGAAATTGAATTAGATTATGTGTTCTTTCATTTATAATACATTAGAAAGCATCAATATAATACAACACAATTACAAAGATTTAAAATATTATATATATATATATATTCTAAATTTTATAGAAAACTATTCTAAAAAAATAACATTAAAGATTATAACTTTTTTTTATATAAACTTTAATAAGTTGTTTTCTTTAAGCAAGCCTACTTCCTAAAATAGCCTATATGTTTGGTTGCCTAACAACACAAGTTCAAATATATGGTTCTTTGTGAAGTATTTTATTCTATCTCTAATATATTTCTTTTGTGCATCAAATGTAGAAATGATTTAAGCCATCTTTTCTCTATTTAAATTTAAATTTACATAATTTTATTTTTGTGTAGACATTAGATACTTAAAAAATAATAATAATAAAATTAAGGTGTTAATATTTTACATTCTATTTTAATAAAAATATAAATAACTTAAGTATATAATAAAAATTTATCAAGTTTTTATAACTAGATAAATTTTTAAATATATATATATATATATATATATATATATATATATATATTGTCATATCTATTTTTTTAATTTGAAATTTGAAATTCTTGGATTTAATAGATAAAAGTATATCAACAATAGATTTTATTTTTATCACTATAGATTATTTTTAATTATTTTTATATAAATTAATCTTTTAAAACTTATATACATACATGTATACAATGATCCCTGTGTAACTTAACAAGCTTAGTGGACAAAAACATTATCACCTAATAAGATAGCATGAAATGAATTTCCAAGGTCTTAGATTTTGGTGCAATAGTATTGTAATGTATCTTATACTGGCTAGATGGTTTACACAACTTCATAAATTGTAAAAATTGTATCATATATCAACTAATAAATTGACCTAAGCATTTAATAAATTTACCCACCTATCATCCTTAGTTGCAAATCCAACCATTTCTTTACTGGTTTTCAACTAATGCGAATCCAATAATAGAGATTTTTTTGATGATGGTTAGGATGGGTGGATCGATTTAATAAATGTGCGTGTCAATTTAACAATTCCCTAACAATATTGAGTTACTGTTATGAAATGGACCTGATGGAGGCAAAAAAATATTATGCAATAGAGGTTATTGAGTTTCTGGAGAGTGAGGTACAAAGGGTTTACTGTATATGTACACGTTAAATATTATTGATAATTTAAAACTGGGCATTTGATAATAAGAATCCTAGATAAAAAGCATATTGGACAGATTACGGAAAGAAAACAGGAGAATCGAAGGACGTTCATGGATACATACTCTATCTTAGACATGGTTGCTCGTGAAATGTCAACAGAGTCTCTGTCGCCAACTTGTACATGTACTTGCTTTTCATGCAACTAAAAGACTGCATATAAGCGTACCAAAGCATCATTAGATCGATCTAATATATGATGTACATAATCTTCAACGGCTCCGCAACTTCCACCAACATCGCAATTTAACACGAGGACGAAATCGACAGCAGTTACCTGTGGTGGATCCAAAGAGATTCCCTTCCATTCTTTTGCCCTACTTCAATGAGCTCGAGATTGCTTGCGTCTCCACGACTAAAACAACAAATACATCCACACATTCACAAGTCAAGTTTTGAGGAACGTGCAATTATTTCCAGCTGAAATCATACCAGAATTCCATATTTTCTACGAACATGGGTACGAGCAAGAGCCTCTAATCCCAGCATGGATGTTTCTCTAAATCCAAGGCATCGATGCTTTGATCCGGTACTTTGCCGTTCAAGAAAAATTATTCACGGAATCTAAGATTTTGGAATACTTCTCCATGAACCATTCTCTCCCCAACTCTTGTAAGTGAAAATTAACGTCCTGCTCTCTTGTACCGTGTAGTACCCCGTGTGCATGTCATTTTCAGGAGCGTAGTGCCTTGGACCACCTTCATCCTCGTCGTCCTCATCCGTCCTGTCCATGCCAAAGTCCACCTTCAAGATCATCCTCCGATGCACGAATTCATGCATTTCTAATTTGATGCCTTCTGCACAAGGTTGAGCTCAAAATCCACATTTGATCGATTGATGTGCTTGAAGAATGGACCTAGAGAAGTCAACGAACCAGTACAACTCTTGCCAAGCAAGAGTTTATGCGGGTTCATCCGCCGGACGACCCCGGTAAGCCCAGTCTAGGTCCCCTTTCGTCTGAGGGCTGGAACACTCGGCGCGTCAAGATTCCAGGAGAAGTCCGTGCACCGTGAAATCAACCATTCGAACGTGCAATTTCAGAGGATTGCCAGAACTAGCCGCTGGAGGAAAATGCTTCCTGGGGCTTTGTTAAGGACATCCGGGGACAAGAAGGCCTCTGCAAACTCTTCCATTGCCATTTTCAAAGCGGATGTCAACAATGCTGAGTCACTCATCAGTCGTTGCAAGAAGACCAAACTTGTCGTCTATGTTGGACCCTTGCAGAAAGTAGTAGAAACTGCGTGGAAGCTGGCCTGGATTACCTCGGCGTCACAAGGGAGCTTATGGGGCTTTTGCATCAGGAGAAGGTTATGCGGTCAGGTTAGTCACACATCCCGCTATCTAAGCATAACGGCTTTGTAATTCTGAAAATGACCATACACTTCCAACACATTAACGTTCTCGTCTGTAAAAGTAACCTTATTCATATGGCTACGATTTTACTGCAACACAACACATTAGCAAGAAACTGCGGATGTTCAGTGGGTTGGAAGGTCAGAACAACTACCCATGGTTACAAAGATATTCTTTCGGACCTTCTCATTTAATCGCCCACTCATAACACCGAATCCAGACACAAAACGGAGTCATAAAGTCAACTGGACATGGACTGCTTGGCTGGAAAATGCACAAAGTTTATTTACAAGCTCAAACAATTCACCCTAGGTCTCACAAACGTGGAAGACTTCTCGACGCATGATACTCAAACTGGTCCACAACTTGCCGAAGTGCTTTCAGCTGAGCTGCCAGGTTTCCCACGGACTTCATCTCTTCATTCAATCGCAAGCAAGCGTTGATAAACCTCTGCCCCTTGGCAGCAGCATCAATGGACGCATCCTGAAGCAGCCCTGCCGCCTCGCTGTGACACTTCATGTGATCGACTGAACTCCCCGTAACCTCGGACAGCGCAGACTGGAGCGACGAAAACAATCCCACGAGACTGCCCGCTACTGCCTTGGCATCATCTTCAACGGCCTTTACCAACTTCACGGCCGTGGCTATGTCACTCATTCGACCCTCTCGTCTCTCACTAGATTCTACATGCGGATTCTCGCTGCTGCTTCCAGGGTGCACATGCCTCGGAATCCGCTCTTCCGTGGAGCCTTCCTCGGCGTGCTGGTCATCGTGTTCTTCCTCCAAAACTCCACTCGCTTCATCGGGTGCGATTTCGGGACTTATCTCTGGTTGCGATCGGACCTTTCCCACGTCCTCACCTATATGACCTTGCATTGCGCGATGCTACGTGAAGCTCAGACCTCATCCCAGATCAACTCATCACTGAAATGAAATCTGCAAACCACACCGAAACTCGTGAAGAAAAAAAACGACCGTGGTCGCGGAGCTTGTTGGCCCTTGAAACCCTAACGCAACGCCAGAATCGTCTTGGGCAGGGCTCGCTCACAAGACAATCTACTTTCGCAATAAAGGTTGCTTTTTCAAAAAGTATGTTACTTTCTCTTTCTGCCTAAACTTCTCTCATTCTTTCAAACTTTGAGTTACGGATGATTATTATTAGGGTAAAAATATTTTCATAGTAAATGTATTTTACAGTAATTATTATCTTCAAAATTTGAGTGCAATCTTACCAAACAAGTGCAAACCTTTCAACTAGAGAAGTAGAGAAGTGCAACTATATGGAAGTTCAAACAAAACGTTGAGGTTATTACTTTGTAATAAGTTGATTTCAGAGAAAATAAAAAAAAATGTAAATAAATATAAAGGTGGAATGTAGTGGTGAATGTATGCATATACATTCCTCTACTTTTGCACCATTAACAAACTTACCCCTTAAAATCTATACATCTTTAATTACTTTGTAGAATTTTATAGAAACCAAACATGTACATTACTTCTAGTTGTTAATCCTGACAACATTTTGACTTTTCAGATGCGATAATCTCAAAATATGTATTCTAAGTAAATTTTTTATTTATGTTGATTTTTTATTTTTTCATTTGAGAGCTTATTGTTTATTTTTATTATTTATTTTAGAACTAATATTTCTATGATCACTTGAATCATGAAATTGTTTAGATTTGTGTCAACTGTTTACATTATTAAAATTTGATGGTTTTGATGTAAATTTTTATTCAAAGTTGAGAAAAGTTGCCAATTGTAAAAAGTAAAGTTAGGCTGCAAAAAGAAAAAAGACGTATATATATATATATATATATATATATATATATATTACCCAAATATTTACAATATTTATGTTTGAATTCTCACAAAGTATTATTTAAAAGCAATGTGTGTGTATATATATATATATATATATATATATATGTAAAGAGAGAGAATAGTAGAAAAGCAACACCTTATTAGTAATTAACATTGTTGAAAGCAATTCCCGTACAATTTAAGATTTTGTAAACATATTTTAATTTAAATCAATCTGGTAACATTTAACTTGCCTGTATTTGGCTTTATCACACAAGTATACTGTAGTTTTGTATTTCTTTCCTTCTTTTTGTATGTTTTGAAAAATTGCACATAAATCTTGCTTTTTTACATTGTCAATTTTTATCTTTACAATCTCAAATTAATACTTTAATGGACTGGAAGTTGTATTATAAGAGAAGGAGTAATAAGTGTTATTTGATGTTTTGATACCATTTAAGCTGACATATACAATTGTCAAAGAAAAGAAGTATTTTTTTTTTTTTGGCATCTTATTTTACATTGTTCACATAGTTCATTGAATGATAATGTTCGAGTCATTCAGTGCACAATGTAATTGTCATCCAAACGTTCTTATATTAAACTATAATAAAAATTAAGCTACTTGTCGAACTTTCTTTAAATGCACTTGAATTTTGTACTTTATGAATAATGAATGGTTGTCATTTTTAAATTTCCAAAACATTCGCCATAAATTAAATATAGAAGTAGTCCTTAATTTTTTTTTATGCCTTCAATGCATTGGTTGGCAATTGTTCTATGTGGTAACATATTTTAGAATAAATTAAATTTATCTATGTTAAAAATGTCGTCTTAATTGTTTTATACAATCAATTCATTTAATTTAAACAATTTCATTAAAAAAGATAGGAAGAAAAAAACAAAAAAATAAAAAAATAAAAAAATGAAGGTTTTTTGAAAAGCTCTAAAATAATTTCACAACTTCAAGGATGAATGAGATATCAAAATGCCATCAATGAATATACAAATAAAAATATATACTTATTTTTTTAGTATAGTTATTTATCTAAATTTTTGATTTCATTATAAGAAGAGAGTCACTTACCATGTATTATCTTGGGGCTTGGTAAAGTGCGGACTCCAATTAAGAATTGTGGTTATGTGGCCCTCAAGGAATTGTTAATCTGGTTTAGGGTAATCGAATTGCTGAGGTCAGAGTTTATGTAAAGGCCTGATTAGGATAAATGGTTCATGGATGATAGCCATGGTTTGGGAACAAGAGGACAAACGGACAAACGACGAACAATTTTCGCACCCAGACTCGGAGAATAATCAAATCTCCTGCCGTTAGGGTTTCGCTGCTGCTTGCCCCACTCGGAATCCATTCTGAGTATTGCCGCTGTCGGATTGGATCGTGGTACGTGACGCCTCATGGTTTCTGGTTCCGTGCGTTCTCTGGTTCCCTGCGTGTCAGCATATCCATCGAGCTCTAGACCGTTCGTTTTGGTGCAATACTGCGACTATTGTGCTCGTTTTAGCTGCCGTAGAATTCCCGTGAATGCTTTTGGATGACAAATCGAATCGGGCTGCTTGGTCTGTTACCTTGAGGGGTGCACGTAGTTGCTGTTTGTGGCGTAACATCGAAAGATTGCTGTATCCAGCGAACTGTGTGTTGCGGTGGTCCGGGTTCCGAACAGGTCAGCTCTGGTGTTTTTGTTACTCTTGTCTTCCAGTGTCTTTGAAGTTTCTAGCCTTTTCTGATTCACATGACAGTGCACAGGATGTGTTTGTGGTTTAATGAAATTGATGACGCCGTTTGCTTTGTGTAATCTCGTCCCTCGGGTTTTAGACTAGGTTCTCCTATGTTTGGCATTCTAACATTGATCTTCTGCGTAGCTCATCGAACACATTTGCATTATATATATAAAGATTTTGATCTTTCCGTTTTAGCATTGATCCTTCCGTCTCCCATGTAGTAACCCTGTCTAGTCTATCAAGAATATAATTCTCTGGTTAGTTTTAGTCGTTTCCTGAATGTGTCCGTTTCTTTAACTTTTGAAGTGTTGGACTCCACCGCAGCGAAAATTTTGATGCAAAGTCAGCGTGAGGAATGGGAAGTTCGTCGGATGTGTTGACGGATGAAGCTGAAGACAGTGGGGATGAGAATGTCGATACCGGTCAGTTCAAGGAAGGCGAGAAAGTTTTAGCCTATCATGGCCCTCTTATCTACGATACAAAAATTCAGAAAGCTGAGTTTCGGAAGAAGGAATGGAAATACTTCGTGCATTACCTGGGATGGAGTAAGAACTGGGACGAGTGGGTTGGTGCGGACAGATTGATGAAGCCAACGGAGGAAAATCTTGAAAAGCAGAAAAAACTCTTCAAAAATCAGACAGGGGATAAGCTATCGAAAGGCCGAGTGCCTGCGGGGAAGCAGAAAAGCGCCGCTGAGAAAGACGAATCTAAAACCGAGAACAAGCCATCCGTCGGACGAGGGAAGAAAAGGAAATCTGATCCAGTTTCTGAAGCGAAAAGTCCCGAGGAGCCTGATCACGCTTTGAAGATACCTTTGCCTGGCACCTTGAAAAGACAGCTGGTGGAAGACTGGGAATTCGTTACTCAAATGGGGAAGCTGGTAAAGTTACCTCGATTTCCATCTGTTCAAGATATCTTCAAAAAATACACAGACTTCAAGACAAAGAGAGATGGTGTAGTGGAGGACTCGTTAGTTGAGGTTCTGAATGGTTTGAGAAGCTACTTCGACAAATCTCTTCCGGCGATGTTATTATACCCCCAGGAACGAGCCCAGTACGCTAGTGCAGTGCCACATGGAAGCGACATTAGTCCCAGCAGCATATACGGGGCAGAACACCTGCTTCGGTTATTTGTTAAGTTGTCCGAGTTGCTTGTGTATACAAACATGGAGCATGAAGCATTGACCCAGCTGCAACATAAATTGGCGGATTTTCTGAAGTTTCTCCAACGGAATCAGAGCAACTTCTTTCTTACCAGTTATGGTTGAGATGCAGTTGTAGATATGATATTATTTTCATTGGATTGTTTAGGGCCTCATTGTATTTTAATTAGATCAAAAATGGTCTTCATTGTTTTGTACAGCTACTGGGTCCCAAATTATTGATGGTGCTTTTCCGACTCCATCTCATTTTGATCTTTATGCAACACCGAATTTTCTTTTCGCCTGGAGAGTAGTATAATTCAGAGCAATTGTTTTACACCGAAAACCGCTATTCTCAGGACGGTTGTCAGTTTACCCAGTCAGTGCACTTATTTCAGTATCGTGAGATTAGTATTAACGCTGTTCAGCAAGGAGTGGTTGTTAAGCCTCCGCCTGAAATGGGAACTGGGGCTTGCGAAGTGCATGCGCTGCATTTTGCACTTCTTGTGCTACTTGTTTGTAAATAGCGGATTGACCTGAGGGCTTATGGCTGGCGTGTGAAACGTACACATTCCATACCAAGCCTATGACATTGCTACATAATACCTGCGAGTTTGTCAGGGTCAATGAAGATTGGATTACGGAATATGAATGTGACAAGAAAAAGCGAAGGCATAATGTATGACGGGCATTTACATAGAATCGATACAACTCATATGTCTTCTAGTTTAAGTGCGTAAGATTTGGTGGATGATGAGGGTACAAGGAGGATACCTGCAAAACTGGAGGGACAAACATGAAGTTGCAGAACTGCGAGGGAAGCCATAATTTCCAATTTGCAATCAGTGCGGGTTTCCAGTCCTGTGCAACGGACATTCTGAAACTTTAAGCAGTGTTGAAAGGCATGGAGCTGTAGGTAAACATGATATATGCGTAGACGGTCCGTTCCTTTTCAAAAACAGTATGTTACTTAAAGCTAAGATTACCATACTTTCGAAAGCTTGTCTTGGATTTTGTCAACATGTCCTTCCACCAGCAACAAATAGGCGAACGTTACAGCGATGAAAATCGGAGCAAAGATGAACTGTGCACTCAAATGTTTCTTCATTAGCATCGCAGCCTGATGTTGCCTTTCCGTAGGCTCGGACACAACTGTGTAGCAGCTATATCTACAGTTGTGCAATGTGATCTCACTCGGCTTTCACAAGATATCTGCAAGTCCGAGTTAGAAAGTAGAAATACCTGGTCCAAAACTAGTCGAATTGCCACACCTTTTGGGCCAGAAGCTTTCACTACTCTGTTGAGGAAACTATACCTGTAGCAGCATTAAAATAGGCTTGTTCATCATTGTCCAAGCAAACTGAACTTAAAGAAACATCCTAGATTGCAGGAGCGGAAGTTTTCTCGTAAGCAAGGAATTCAAAGGCGTCGTACCAGTAATGGAGTGTTGGTCCCACAATGAAAAGCCCAAAGGTGGTCATCGACGCCACCCGTCTATAATCCAAACCACCCGATTTTTCTACATACAGCTGCCAAAAAATATTCGTTACAACGTATCCATGACTCCCATTAGAGTCCTAAACCAATTACTGCACGAAAAGATTAGCTCAGGCACAACAGAGTTTTGCAAATTCGAATCGCATAAAGATTCTGGGAAACGTCTCAACGTTGAACATGAATGAAAATCTTTGATCACCATTCTCTCGCAAGTATCAACTGTTGAAGGTGTCGTCACCATCTTCATCAACGAGGTATACCTGAGTGAAAATGTCTCCAACACAGTTGAGAATGCCGAGGGTGATAGCCTTTGTCTTGATAGGGTGTTCTATTAGAACTTTGGTATACCTGAAATGATTTACACCATGATTGTTACATTCAGCACAGATCATCGAAGGAGGTAGGCAAAAGCTCAAATGTCTCTTCTCATGTGTTCAAATTTGAAACGAAATTAACGCAAGGGCAGTTGTGAAGCATTGATATAATACCAGTTTCTCGATGCAGAGCCAATTTCGACTCCAGGGGGGGTTGCAGCCCCCTGGTTTGCTGCTATTGAGGTTCCATACCACAAGAAGAAATTGAAATTTCGTTACAGAATAATTGAACGGCTACTTCAATAGCTAATATGACTCAAGATACTCAAAATTGGTTATTAACATTTCAATAACCACAACCGTTAACACAAGATTTCGATCAAAACTCTGAAATTCATCATCACAATCGCTTATACTGAGTGTTTGACTCACTTTAATTTGCAATAAAAAATCAAAGACTGAAGTTCGGCCTAAAATGTACCAGATATTCTCCTTCTCATGGTTGTCTATGCCACACACCTTGAAGAATTAATCCAAACCAGTATACCCGTAATTCGTGGAACTTGAGTTTCAAAATCGAACTGATATTTAGAGCCACATACTAAGATCTGCAGCATGAAAGACAAACTTCGTTTTCAGAATTCATGTATGAAATTTCAGTCGACGTAACCTTCTGAATAGGCATAGTGCAAATCATCCGCATGGTACAAATTATCGCTGTTTCCTTGCCGTTTTCAACATTCTTTTGTCCATAAATTTCGAGTGCAGATGCGTTAATGGAATTAAACACATCAATAACCTAATTATTTCCAAAAACAATTTGCACACATTCAAAGAATTGCTGTCATGTGAACGACATCAAACATCTTACTATCATGTGAACCTATTCCATCGAGCCATGATCATCTAAATCTACGTTCGTCTTCAGAGGTCTGCAGGGTTCTTGTAACAAGCATAAACATCACATGGTCATGAACCAACACCAAATCCCCTATCCAACCCCAGCATTACAAGGATTAGCAGCTTTCAACTGCAAATTTCCTCACCCATTCGACGCTTTCTGAGTCGAACCAGTTTCCGTTCAGAGCTCCATATTGCAGGAACACTCTGCAACTTCACTGTAGAGAATTATGTTGCTCACTCCAAGCCGCAATCTCATATCAGCATACCATCCGAGTGCGAAGATCCAATGTGCTCCATCCAACAATTGGCCTCCATAACCTGCTTCTGCTCATGTGCGATTTCCCTGCTGAGAATCTCTCACCAACCTTTTCAAACGCAGTGCGATGAGAATCATGGGCTAAGGGCTGGAATGCAGTAGGAAGCGTCGATCTTGTGCAGGAAGAATCGAGGTTCTTTGGAGCTCGGTTGCCATTGACAATGGCGCTCCTTCATCAACTTCTTCCTGGTGGTTGATGGATGGCACCGCATTGCGTCACACTCTCATCCCATTAGGATAGCAACGACTTCATCTGCTTATTCATCCAATGAGGGGATGAATAGGAACTATTCAAAGCATGCCTACGCGAAGATTTGTCTCGGATTTTTTATTCGATTATAATACTACTTTTTTCAACAGTATAATACTGTTTTTTTAGACCTCCAAGTAAACAATTGAAGCTGTCGTATAAACGTATGAATATTTCCTATGATTGTAACGCATGAATACAAATAAATTCTCGGAATATTCGTCATTGATAAATATTTTCTTTGGACTGATGAGAATGTGTTGCAGTTTAAAGTATATAAGTATATGAGCGTGGCTCAAACATCACTACAAATTTACTAAACTTGCAATAAAGAAGTAGAAACATGTTTTTAATAAAAAAAAAAGTTGTGAAATCACAGAAGTATGACACATCGATGAAACTACCACGTTTTTTTTTTTTTATAAATTTGTGTTCTATTAAAAATATATAAGTATAGTGTGGACGTAAAACAGAAACCGTAGCTTACGATAAATTTATAAGTTTAGTTATTTTTTGAACATAAAAAAGTAAAATAATTTAATTCACAAAACTTTATATTATACATCAAGTATATTTTTTATTTTATTTTTTCTGTTAAAATTTGTCACCAGAATCATCAACATAAATTTAGCATGTCTCATGTAATACATTGTTTACTTTATAAATACCATCTATATTCAAATATGAGCAATAAATTCATGTCAAGTTTCCAAGATATTTTCAGCAATACCAAATGCGTGACCAGCAAAAATACTGCTGTTTTAGAAAGTGCAATTGGAGCTAAGTGAAAGGATGATCGATACAATCAATACAATTAAAAGGTTTAAAAGCTATTTGAAATCTCACGTACCAAACCACCAACTTACCATTTTCCATATTCTAGGGTCTTCCATGATCTAAACGTCTACTATACAACAAAGAGTATATTTACATTTCTTCTTTCCGAAACACAACTTTTGATACTAGTCCGCAGCGTCTAGAAGCCAATAAATAGTAATTCAAGAAGCAGAAGCGGATGAACAGAGAGGGCGTTCCGTCCAAATGGATGGTTTTCATTCAAACACCGAGCTATCGTCAACTTGGTTGCAAGCCCACAAACGCGGGGTCACCACGTGCCAGTTCGCAAGCTTCCAGTGTGTTCCCACGACCTCCACGGGTTTTACAAAGCCAGCGGGCAAGCATAGGGAATACCCTTGCGTCAGCGAAGAACAGCCATTCGATATGTTCGTCGGAGGATCGAGCGGTGGGTGCCGACCTTCTCTTGAGTGGCGTGAGGAGGCGTGGAGGTGGGTGGCGAAGAAGGGTGAGAAAGGGAGCGAGAGAGAGAAGAAGGGTAGAGAGCGGGAGCAGAGTTGCATCCATCCAAGCATATCATCGTTGTGTTGTGGAGCAGAGAGCTACGGACGGAGTTGGGAGGGGGTTAGGAAGGAAGGAAAGGGAGTTCATCGCATCCAGCAGGGAGCAACTGTTGAACAGAACCAGGGAGGGAAGGAATTGGAGACAGCCATCCCTCACTCGCGGGTGCAGGCAACGCAACGACGACGAGGGTGGAGCCATCATCGTTCCACGAGATGATGCTGCAACAGCGTCAACACCAACAGCAGCATCCAGGAGATGGCGGGGGAGCGGGCGCTATGGACGCCATGGCCTGCGACGACCACCATGTGGTGGTCAGCAGGATGGACCTGGCACCGCAGGTGCAAGGGCTGAGGATGCTGGACGAGCAGCAGGAGCACGAACATCAACGGATTTTGTACGGGGAGAAGGGGCTTGGGGACCATACCCATGATGAGATGGGCAAGGGGCAGCATCCGGGGCACGTTGTGGTGTATGGCGACCGGGGGCATGAGAATGGACATGAACACGCACATGCGTACGCGGTGGAAATGGGGAACGGGAAGCACGGCGTGGTGGATGATATGGATGCGAAGCTAGGGGGCTTGAGCGCCGCCATGCTCCGAGTGGATACCGAGATGGAGGGCCGTGAGCGGCAGATAAGCGATGGTGACGTCGGGACGGCGAATAGCCCGCAGGTTGGGTCGCAGATTGGAAAGCTCCGAGGTCGGTCGTCACGCGACCCGGCTATTGAGTGGAGTGAGAACGCCACGACGGTTTTGTTGCAGGCGTTTGGGGAGAAGTACCGCGCTCTTGATCGCGGGAATTTTACAAGCAAGATTTGGGCCGACATTGCGGCGAGGGTGAACAGCCGCGGCTCGCTTACGGTAACTGATGGTTTCAATTTTGTAACGTTCTTGATGTGTGTGCCTGTGCAAGTTTGGTTTCATTGTGGTGGATCGCTTTTTTAAATTTTTTGGAAATATAAAAAAAATTAAAAATTAAAAAATCGGTCATGGAGGGTTGGGATGGAAAGAAAAGGCTGGTAATTGATTCCGACTGCGGCGTAGAATGCATGGGGAGAAACTGTATTATGGGGGAGCTCAAAATAGACTCATTTGGAAAAAATACGATTGAGGGGTAGTATGAAGAAAGCCGAAAGTTTCTTTAGGTTTGTACGTAACTAGTGGTTTTTGATTGGTTTGGCTCAGGAAGTTGATGTTTGCAATGTCTCAAGCAAGGTTTTAGCGGGAATCCTGGGGCTATAAAGTCGTAGGTGATTTTATATTTTTTTATTAACATTCTTGAACCTTTTCCTTGTTTTTAATTTTAAAATGAATGTTCTTTTTAATTATTGTAGAGAATAAAATGTGCAAGAGAGAGTGAGTGACTAGTGAGTGAGTTGTTCTTAGCATGGCTCGACCTTTGGAATGACTTGATTGTTCGAGGGTTGTAACTTCAATCATGAATAGTTTTCCAGAAGCAGGACTCAGTGCTAAAGTTTTTTTAGATCTAAACCTTTTGTCCCCTCTCTTAACTTTGCAAAGTTTAAATTTCTTTGATCTAAAATTTGAATAGATATTTCTTTTTCATCTAAAATGAAGCTGCATCTCGATCAAAGAGTGCAGTGGATTGTGTTCGGTCCCGGTGACAATTATGTAAGCTGCTTTCAATTCACCTACCATGTTTTGAGAGTCAACGTCTGCTTCTATATAATTTTGCTTTCTCATATGACACTCTTATGAACTTGACTGCTGAGAGTGCTAGCTTGTATCATTAGTAAGCTAGTTGCTGTATGTTTCTTCACAAAAGTATGCTATTTCTACTGTTTCTGTTCTTACCGTCCCACGTTGGCCGGTAAGTAGACAAAATATTTTGTGGAGAAGAAAGACAGTGGATGCCAGGGTAGAATTTTGTTGAGCATTATATTATTCACTCGTCACAGCAGGTGATTCTCACAAGGGACAATTCAACCTGATTTCTGATAATGAGTTTTTGTCCTGCAGTCATTCAGTGTCAGTTTTCTAATCCTAGGACTGGGAGGAGGTACAATAGAATACGAGCTCATTGAACACTGATAAACGTTGGCGCTGGAGTGTATATGGAGATCTGCATCTATTCCCTTGGATTACTCCATTGTTTCATGCTGAAAGTATAGATACGGTATAAACAACTTTGCTTGCTCTCACATGTTTGATGTGCTTGACTGTCGATGGTGTAGGGCAATTTAGCGGACGGCATACCAAAGACACAGGAGCAGTGTCGCATCAAGGTGGTTGAACTTACTATGCTTGCATAACGTATTGATTGGTGCTCCTGTTATTAATGTCGTCCAGTCTCTACACGGATAGGTTTCGTACTGTGTAATGACTACTAATAATGACGAAGGTCTAGGTAGTAGACTAATGATCTATGCATAACGCAGGTTGATAATCTAAAGAAACGTTACAAAGTGGAGAGAGAGAAGAAACGTGTTTCGGGTTCGGGGGCGTCAAAGTGGATATTTTTTGATATGATGGATGAGTTGATTGGAGCAAATCCAAGGCATATGCGTAGCGGTGGTGGGCTCGGAGGAGCAGATTCGCCTTTGGGTTTGGAACATGGTGGCACACCTCTAGGCATTCGAACATCCGTTGAGGATGGGGACAGGATGTACTACTTAGAGAGTGCAGGCGGTGACGGCGATCAAACATCAGAAACGATCCCTAAAATTTCGCCGATTCAGGGACGAAGGAAAAGGAAAAGAGCGTTGGAAGACTTGGAAAGAGAGAACGTGAATGCTCCAGCTCTGATGGCCTTGTTCGGGGATTACAATATTCCAACAAGTATCATCGATGCGATGCTGCAGGAAGACATGGACGAGTACACTCTGATTAATTCTAGAGATATCATGGTGTTACTGGACCAGCTGCGAAGCAAGCACCGGCTGCACATTAAGCTTGGGCCTGCGGAAAGGATCAAACAAGCCATCGAGGCTGCAAAAGAGAAGAAGAATAGCCTGGCCTTAGTTCTTCAGCATCAGCAACAACAACAGCAGCAGCAGCAGCAGCAGCAGCAGCAGCAGCAATAAGTGCGGACTAAATGGATGCTGCTTGTAAGAGAAGGTGACGGTAGAGTGCGGTTTGTGTTGCTGAGTGGTAACTTGGGGAGCGGCTAGGCATCCGTCTTGTTATTGTAGTTTTTCTTTGGGGACGGTTCTGACGGAGCGGAGCTGCGTAGAAGCGGTTGGTGACCGAAGGCAATTTTGCCTGACATAGATGGACGGCATGGGTGGTGGTAGAGTTTGGACGAGGAAAGTGTGGGTGCATATCATAGAGTGGACGTTCAGGAGCATCGAGAGCTCGACTGGAAGTGATGGTGGATCGGTAGAGCAGGTAATGAGAGGTTCCACAAGCGTACGGAGACAGGGAGTGCCGCGTTGTTGCAATGCACGGTCGATGTAGGTGGATGGGTTGGAGTCGATCCATGCCGAATCAGCTTCAGTTTTGATGGCCAAAATTTATTTTTATTTTTATTTTTCCCTTTTTTGGGTGCAACAATGAGTTTGTCGGGAGTAGGACCACTTATTTTTTCGAGTTTCTTTTAGATTGTAAAGGAAGCTGACTTGAGTAGGGCGGGATCAGCATTATGTACCATTCGTGGTTGTGTCACTGGACGCTTTCTCTATGTTTTGTGTGAAGGGAGGGAAATCTGGACGCGCCTTATTCATGTATAGATGGAAACTATAAAGGTGGGACAGTGCGAGAGAGTACACAAGGAGGATGAAAATACTTGATGGCGCTCAGTTGTATCGTATCGACAGTTTTGATGCCGCGGTCTTGTTCAGTGTAGATGTTACACTTTCCATCTGGGAGCTGCTTGGCGGTGTTTGGAACATCCATCAGTAGCTTGAGATGGGAGTTTTTCACTTTGCAGCTAAGTTATTTCCGTTTGACCTCAACACGTCATGGGTACAGTGGTGATAACCGAGCTTCCACCTTCACGATGGTCAAGGTACATTGCGTTACCTTCTTGTCCCTGGTCAACTGGCATGGTGCGGTTAGATTAACAGTGGATTCCAGAGGCCTGAACAAGACTACCGCGTGTGGTGGGGAGAGACAGTCAAGTTGAACTAGGATTAAAATCGTCCGGAAGTTAGATGCAACCTGTTATGGCGACTGTAACAGGGACACTAATGCATGCAAGTTCGGTTTTATTACTGGGATATGAGCTTGAGTTATAGACGAAAGGAGTGTAGTAGATTGTGATGTTGAGTGATACTTTTTAATATGATATGAATTTTTTTCCCCTCTTAATCAAACTGAATATGCTGTGTTGCAGGAAATATCGCTGTCGATTCAACTCCGAGTAAAAATCTGGTGGGCGCACGTTCTGCTGTGCCATTCGGTATACGTGGACTTTCAAAAGGATTTGGTGCATGTTACGTAGGCGGATTGTGTTTGCATTGTGTAGAACTACACTGCAGTTAAGTTGGCCGAGTGTTCAATCAATTTAAGCTTTGGCACTTCTAGGATTTCCTCCAACAGGTTAATGAAGGGATCTACGTCCTGGCTTTACTGACAGAAATCGAGATACACTATTCATTATGTTCAGCAGAAAGAAAAAATGTTAAAAAACTCCAGTGTATTGCAGTTCCAGGATTTTCGGAAGGAGATCCATTTCTGACTGGATTCTCCCGTACTTAGTTTCATCGATCCTGATGTCATGCTTGGATGCAAAACATCATGTTCGGGTCCAAAATGATAGTGTTTGAATACTTTTTAAACCTATGAAGGCCTCTGGTTGCGATTCTGGGGGATCATGTGACAATGAAATTATCAGATTAGGTAAGGTTTCCTTGCTTGATCCATAACTCATTATAATCAGACTACTTTGTTGTCAAGACATGAGATAGTTTTCCATTGCTTTGATGATTGAGCTTTGTGGATTCACCCTGAGCAATCGACTTAGCATAACAGCATATACCTTGTGAAAATCGTGCTTGAACCTTGTATGAGCCTCCTAGTCTCATGATGTCAAATCGTGAGCTTTAGGACTGCAAAATTGCCTAGGAAATATTGAATTGCTATCCACATAGACCCACCAGGCCATACCTTCTCCTCTAACCATTTGCCTTTGCATCTAACTCTTTTGTATAATTAGCTCATAATTAATTGTCATCTTGGACTTTTTCATTGACGAGATTTTGAAAGGAATTGGGATCACTTTAGAATTTGAGAGTGCCATAGGGTTATTCAAAGATTTGGATTAATATTCTTTAGTAATTGTGTAATTGGATATTATCTAAGATATCTTGAGATACATAATTTAATAAATTTTGTTTTTGAAAAATTTAGGTTTGAAAACCAAACATGAAATATTCAGGGGTGTCTCATAGCATCTGATAAAAACGTGTCAATGTTTAATTTATTGGAGAATGACACCAAGGAAAAAGAAGAAAGATATTTTTGGTTTAAGGAGAAAACAATAAGATAACATCATTTGTGGGTAAAGCACCTCCACTTCTCTGATACTCTTTTAAGAAACTGTTGGGATGGTTTTCTTTAGGTGAACATCCCATTGTACAAGATTAAGGAGTGTCAACTAATCACAATTTTATGAATTGTTGATTTGTTGGATCTTTGACCTAAATCTTTCATCTAGCCTTTTCTCTTGACATTGACACCTAAAATTGTTGAAGGAAAAAAGGAAAACCAATATATATATATATATATATATATATATACTTCTAATTCAAATGGGTTTTGCAAATTAATTTGTAACCAATTACTAGAGTTTCAAAAAACCCTTTAACAAATATATATATATATATATATATATATATATAAAACAAAACAATATATTCTATGCAAGGTTTATCAAGCATTGTAAAAATTTGACCAATAGAATTTGAATTACCAATCATTTTAGAGCTCTTTTGCAAACTTCAATACAATATGGTATTTTCTTGTAGTTTAAGGTTGTTTTTTTTAATGAATGCATGTATTTCACAATTATTTTTTAGATATTCAAAATGAGTTATATATGTTAATTTTTTTTATATGTTAAATTTAACATATAAAATTAATAAAAGTATTTTTTTATATTTTATTTAATAAGATTATTTTTTAAAATATTTTATTTAAATTAATATTTTATATTAAATTAATAAAAGTATTTTTTATATGCTAAATTCTTTGTTCAAAATACTTTTATTAATTATATATATATAATTTTATATGTTAATTATTTTTGTTAAATTTAACATATAAAATTAATAGAAGTATTTTTTATATTTTATTTCTTTTCAATATATCATATTACTATTTTATTATTATTATTATTATTATTATTATTATTATTATTATTATTATTATTATTAATTTTTTTAAAAATTCACAATATCTTAAATTGAGTGTGCAAAAATCAAATTTTTAATAAATCATACATATATATATATAATTGTTGAATTTAATGTTTTTTTAAAATTAAATTCATTAATTATGTCTCATACTATATTGAATATAAGTAGAGGACAAAGATGTGAAACTAATTTATTATGAAATCAATATATGTATATATAGATAATACATATTTGTAATAATAATTTATATTTAGAAAAAATACAAATACATCAGACAAAGGAATTTATAAATTTTATTAATACAACTTATTATTACTAATATTTTTTTAATTAAATTTTAATATTTAATATTTAATATTTTTTTAGAAATCAATGTAATTTATAAAATAATTAAATAATATTTTTTTCTCATGTATAAAAAAAAACTTATAACTTATACAATATACAATAAAAATATAACCAAAAGCTATAAATAAATCATGTTCATAGTTTTTTATTTTTATTTTAGCTTTTTCTATAAGAGTTTTAATTTTTCTTTTATCTATATGAAATATATAAGCAAGGAAGTATTAACTAGGATTCACATATGATTTATGTTGAGTTTTGAAAAGATATTTGTAGATAAAAAATATTCTGGAATTCACAAAAAAATTCTTGTGTGTTTATATATTAATATTAAAGAAACATATATGCATTGGTAGAGTGTCATCATGTCTTATCTTAGATATAGTGTTATTATTACTTATTTTTTTTTATTATTAATATATAAATATAAATATAAATATATTTATTGATTTCATAATAAATTAGTTTTACATCTTTGTCCTCAACTATAAAAAATACTAAATTTCATATAATAACACTATATCAATGTAAATCATATGTGAATCTAAAATAAATATAAAAATAATATAAAAACAAAGATAAAATAAAAATAAAAATCTATAAACATGATTTATTTATAGCTTTTGGTTATATTTTTATTGTATATTGTATAAGTTTTTTTTTTATACATGAGAAAAAACATATTATTTAATTATTTTATAAATGACATTGATTTCTAAAAAAATGAAAAATAAAAAATAATAGTAATAATAAGTTGTATTTATAAAATTTATAAATTCCTTTGTCTGATGTATTTGTATTGTTTCTAAATATAAAATATTATTACAAATATGTATTATATATATATATATATATATATATGTATATATATATATATAAATTTCATAATAAATTAGTTTCACATCTTTGTCCCCTACTTATATTCAATATAGTATGAGACATAATTAATGAATTTAATTAAAAAACACATTAAAATAAAAAATTATATATATATATATATGTATATATATATATATATGTATATATATATATATATGTATATATATATATATATATATATATATATATATATATATATATATATATATTTATATATATATATCACCCCCCCCCTAATATGTGTGGGGCATACAGATGTGAGACACCTTTATATTTATATATTATATACATATACATATATACATATATATATATATATATATATCATTCATGTCACAAATTTTTATATATTTATACACAACACACATATTTCACAAAACTATTTATTTTCTATTTTATAAACTCATCAGATTTTACCCTTTTTTTTTTTTCT